ATAAATGGGGTTATAATTAGGGTAGCCATACTTACAACCCATATTAGGGGACTTAGAACCCCACTTATAACTACCCATGAACCTCCAAGAAGTCCAATTTTTAGAGCCGATGCGGAGTTCCCCAGCTTTCGCGGTTTCAGCTGTGGGTTTTCCGGGCTTCGGCTGGGCTTTGGGTTTTTTTGTTGTTGGCAGGTCTGGAGGTTTTTGATGGGATTCAGGATTCACAAAAAAGAGGGCTTCAGGACTTCGGCGAAGTTTCGTCCTGGATGAGAGTTTGGGTGAAGACTTCCGGTCCTGGCGCTTGTTCCGTTTCTGTCACTGAAGGAGCCAAGACCAAAAAGGAGTCGGAGGCAAAAGAGCTGGAGGAGCATGCTCCCTGAACGCACTAGACCGTGAAAGGGCCCCGAAAAGGCCGCAGCAGAGAGCCCTGAAACTGGTCATTAGTACATTTTCCAAGGTGACCTCCATCGTCCAGTCGCTCTGCAGATACTGCACAGGGACGCCTGTAGCCCGCGTGCTGAACAAGTTCGTGCCCTGCCTGAAGTGAAGAAGTACCGAACGGCTTCAGTTGATGATTATTCAAGCGTCTAGAGCCTTTTACTGGCAACTTTGTGTTTGTTGTGTTTGACGCCCTCCACAGGACTCGCCTGGATGATGCTTGAATCCGTTCTGCCTCTTTCAGAGGTCGAGAACCAGTTCGAGAAGCTGGAGCGACTGCTGGAGATGCACGAGGACGGCCAGCCATGCACGCCTTGTCTGAAGCTTCCCTTGCCGCGGCTTTGCTGGAAGAAGCCAGGTCTGCCCCTCATAAGAAGCCAAGTTTCCGCAACTTGCACCGGGTCACCCACTTCCTGCGGCTGAAGTATCAATTGTGCATGGAGTGAGCGGAGAGCCGACCCGGCGTGAGGAGTACAACCGCTCAGTCAAGGCCGCAGATGAGGCGTCTCAGCTCTTCTCTAATTCACAACCGACCTGCGTAGAAGCAACATCAGCAAATACCTGCAATCAGAAATGCGGACGGATACTTACCAACAGACACCCGAGATTCCAGTCCGCCCCGGCCCTAAATCCAAAACCTTCAATCTTTACATCATGCAGAACACAAACAACCATATATAACATACTCAAAACCGTAACCTCGTAGAACCTACTGTCGTACAAGCGATAACATACAGAACTATTATCATGCAAAATTGTAGTCCGTTGCACAAAATATTCTTACCACCTACTGTAATGCAGACTATTTAGACTATTACTTAACCTATACTTGCATTGCGCCGAAAATGTCTGAGGCCCGAGACCAGGGCCTCGCGCAGAAGATCGACCGAGAGTCCCGGGTCTCAGGGGCTGGGGCTGCTGGTTTCGGGTTTAGGGCTGTGTACGAGGCCTGCCGTAAAAAGGACTTTGGGTTGAGGGTTTAGGGCCTAGGGTCTAGGGTTTAGGGCTTTGGGTTTAGGGTTTAGGGCCTGGGCTTTAGGGTTTAGGGCTTAGGGTTTAGGGTTTAGGGCCTAGGGTTTAGGGTTTAGGGGATTAACGACAAGGGTGGGCGCGTGGGGGCCCAAGAGGAAACTCGAAGCATCTGAACAGCTGGAGACGGCAGACAGCTATAGACTTGTGTACAGAGTTCCTTTTGGTTGTGAGTCATATCCTATGTATCAGCCAACTTATCGCTTCTTGAGTCGGATGCGTTGTGAGTGTTGTTGGCTGATGTGGAGCATGAACTTCAGCACTTCCGGCGCCATCGCTACGGGGCCTTCGTCAAAAAACAGAGAAGGGGTTTCAACCGGTTCCACGTACTGCTCAGCAGACCAGAAAAATTGCCGACCTGCCGGCCCTCGCGCCTGAATACTATCAAGGAGTGTTTTAAGACTTCCGCCCTTCCGTTGCTCACATCTCCGAACACATGCCTGTTTTGATCGGGTCTCTCTAGGGGTTGGGCTTCAGACGTGACCCAGGCTGGAAGTAAACGACGAGGAGCTGGGGTGGAGGGGCGGACTTCTGTGCGAATTACTGGAGGTTTCGAGCTTGAGCGTTCGGCGTTGAGGGTGGTACGGGCTCAGTATGCCATACGGTTTCACTGAAGGGTGTTGGCTTTTGCAGAGTTTCTGTCACCGCTCGGCTTTCTGGCGCGAAAGCACCAACCAGCAGCAGTCACACTACTGCTCGCGATTGTTCGTATTGCAGGACACCCTGCAGAAATTGCTCTGGACATAGTCTATAGTGTCACACGGTGTCGCGGTTTGTACCTGCTCGAAGACAGTCTGTTGGCACCAGAAGTTGCGATGAGACACGGCTGGCTCTCTGATCAATGCCAATGTGTGCCAGAGATCTGAAGCCTCCAGACCCGAAAGTGCAAGCCTTATCATGAACGATTGCATAGCTACACAGGGCAAACCACGGAGCTTCGCGGAATCTGAGCTTCACCCGCAGCTAGTATAGGCGAATCTCGAGAGCATGGTCGAATCTTGCATGACGTGGTGTTTCGGGTGTTTTCGGTTTGTGTCTCGGGTTTGTTGTCAGATTTCCGGTTCCCGGCACCTCCACTTAGGACCTGATCTGTTTTGGTGTCGTGCAGTGCCGCTAGTAGCTTGGAGCTCGCCGAAAGAGAGAGAGAGAGAGAGTCTTACCGACCCCTCATGCCCTGGGGAAGAAGGAAGAGAGAGAGAGTTCTAAGAGTGTTTCTGTGACACACAACACCTGGCGGAACTTCTGATTCTCAGGGCTTCATGGGTGCTGGGCTGCTGGGAAGTCTGGGATGGGCAGTCTTTGCCCCTTAGCAGCGGAAGAGGGACCTCGGGTTCCCCGGCAGGAGCAGCTCTTTCTGGATCGCTGCGATGCCGGTCTCTTCACTCTGCAGCAGGCGTCGACCACAGCCCCGAAAGCCGAAACCCTAAGCCCAAAGCCTCGCCTGGATTGTCCGAGTGTGAGCGCCGAAACCCAAAGCCCGAACACCGACTTGGAGGGGGAAAAGGTGCCTCCACAAAAAAGCTTCCGAAAATTTCAATCCCAAGCTGCATCCACGTCTACAGCGGTCCGGCTTAAGGGTTGGGTGTAGGGCTCAGGGTTCAGGGTCTGACCGGTTGGCAGTTGGATAAGGCAAGCGACAAAGTAAGTACCGGAGAAGTCCAAAATAATTCTGACCCAAATCAGCAAAGAAGGAGAGGTCGGGGCCCGGGCTGTACTTCGATTACGACCACCCTCAAGCTTACATGCTCAAGCCAGAACCTTGAAAACCCGATCCATACCCGCCATACCCCCCACAATGAAAGAATGACCAGGTGGACTTGATCCTGGTCCGACTGGAACCTTGACTATGCCTATGCTGTGTTGTATTGCACTAAATGATACTATCCTTTACGATATTATGAAACATTCTAGTACACTATAGAATATTATACTATATGGTAGAATATTACATTCTTACAGCCTAAGGCCCCCCGGGATACATGCGAAGGCTTCGAAACCTCAAGCTTGAGCTCGTAAGCCTTCAGACACCGTTTTCAAGTTTTGATCTGAACCCCTTCGCCTAGAGGCTCTTCGATTCTGCAGGGTTCGACGGCTCAGGGTTTGGGGTTTAGACACTTAGAGCTGGAGCTTCACAACAACCACCCGAGACACGTGAGTTCCTCATCTGTTGGCTACTCGTGTTGGCATGCTATTGTTATCGTCGTTCTGACTCTTCTCGCTACTTTACGTTGTTTACCACCCTACATGCCCCTTCAGCACTAGTGCTAGCCGCTAGACTCAAGCCTGAACACTCCTAGCAGGCCGCAGTAGCAGCCCTAAACCTGCACCAGCGCACTGCAAAACACCAAGGGCACATTTGATGCTTGAATGCCAGAGCTGAAGTGCTCCAACTTGATGTTTGTTATCTTTGACCTTAAACAACGATTGGAGCGGAGGTGCGATCACCGACAACCAGGGAGAGACACTTCCACAGACACAGCGACAAATCCCGTAAAGCCCAGGTGAACATGGGAAATCGGCAGGCCAGTGAGGAGACCCTTGGCATCCACTTCAACTTCCGAGCATGTTGAGACATGTTGAGTTTTGAGGCTGAGGCAAACGGCGTGGGGAATAAAAGGTGTAGAGCTGGTTCGTGGTTGAGGGTTAGACCTGAACAGCTTCCGGGAGCGGTGGCCGCCAGGGTTCAGAGCTTTGGTGCAGAGGTTTCTGAAGCCACGAGTCATCTTTGCAACCACGCCGGAACAGCAAAGGTTTCTTTCCAGGAGGTTTTGCGGGATCGTGGCACGGGACCCAACCCCTAAACCTTAAAGCCTGCTTGTTTCTGTCGCCTGGGTCGGTGAACGTGCAGGGCAGGGCAGTGGTAGGGTCATGTCTCAGCTGTCAGGGGGGAAGCAAGCTCGGACGTCGTGAAGCCATGCCTGCATTCTGCGAGTCTCAACCCGAAACCCCAACCCATAAAGCCGAGACCCCAAAAACACGAAGCCCTGGTCTAGTGTTTTGGGGGGTTTGAAAAGCCTCAGATCCCCCAAAGCGCCCAAAAGCACCGAAGCCCCTTGGCAAAGACTTTGAAATCCTTGCAGTCTCAAGCCAAACTTTTCGCAGAATTTCTGGTAGAGGCCCTACTTCTAGAAGAGCTACAGAAATATTCTGAGCTCAGGATCGGCAAATTGATGGATGCCAAGGGAGTGAAGCTCAGCGAGGTCCGCGATGTCCTCGGGGAGTATTGCACCCCGCCTTCATTTGGGACTGTTTGCTTAGAAGTTGGTTGCCCAAGCAACAGCCTCATTTCGGGATTTTTGCTTGAAATTTGTTGCCGGTGTAATTTTGCGGGGTTCTTGAGGTTGTGCGTCTTACGCGGTGTTTCCTGAAATTAGCAGACGCTTCTAAGAAGGATGATCATATTGGCTGCTTGATTTTATTGAAACTCCCCTCGGGGTGGCGCGTGGGGAGTTCGGGGTGCCCGCCCACTCGGCGGCGCGGGAGAGTGTAGGTCTTGGGTTGCAAGTACGAGACAGGTGTGGAATCATCATCCAGAGACCCTACTAGGCCCTCGTGCTACACCTTCTTGAGCCTTAGCCAGTCCATTCCCATGGAACCTCTAGCATCTGGGATTCTAGAAATTTCGTTGGAAACTTCGAGGCAAGAACCTTGGAAAGGCCGCTCAGGACGAGAGACTCCTGGCCGGAAGGATGGAGTAAGAGTTGCCCTTCAGGATTGATTTGCTTTTGGTTTTAGGGTTGTAGACGGTTTTAGGCTTTAGGGCGAGAGAGAGAGAGGGCTGTAAGGGCGACAGAGTGCCCTGGAGAGAGAGACGGAGAGAGAGAGTCACCCAACTGTTCACACGAAGCTTCATTCCAGAATACATGCTTTTTCAGTACTGGAGGTCTGGCACCCGAAACTTTAAACCCTGAAGCTCCTCAGCTAGGTAGTGAGGTGCAGTAGGGCCTTGGTGTATGGCAAGCCGCCTCTTTAGCAGCTTTTCTAGCATTGATCGGTTGTGTGTTGTTATGGCTGGCCCCGAGTAACGTTTCACTCCTTCTACACCTCGAACGAGATGCCTCGCCTGGAGTGTTCGAGTGTGAGCGCCGAAACCCTGAACCCTACACCATGTCCCCAGAAGCCCTAAACGAGAAGCCCTAAACCCTAAACTCTAAACCCTAGGCCCTAAACTCTAAACCCTAGGCCCTAAACTCTAAACCCTAAGCCCTAAACCCTAAACCCTAATCTCGGACGCTGTGAGCCATGCCTGCTTTGCGAGTGTGTGAGTCGAAACCCTAACCACTAAATTCAGGAAAAGAGGTGATGTCCTACCTCCGTGCAATGATGACCAGGCCTTGGCTGCCTGGGAAAAACGCCGGCTTCTTTTGGATTTTTCCTCTCCGGGGTTTGGGGTTTGGCGCTACCGAGCCCTAAACCCTAAACCCTAAAACCCTAAACCCTAAAACTCTAAATACCACATCTTTCAGGGGCCCTCAAGGCCGAAAGGGGCAGCAGCTAGCTGCGTCATTGGCAAGGCCCTGGGCTCTTCCCGGGGTTCCTCCCTCCCTCCTTGACTTGGCCGTTGCCCACGCAGACAAGCGCCCCTCCGACGTCTGACTTTGGGCTCGACCAGCACAGAGATGGGGCGGACCGATGTGGGAAAGACATGGAATAAGTCTCCCGGAAGCCTTAACCACGCCGTCCGAAGCCCGAATCAGGCCCCAACTGCCACGTGGATTCACCATGGAGCCGTCCCCAGCGCGGCAGAACACATTGCCTGGAAAGGTACACCTCGCATCGCCTTAGGCTTTCATGGAGCCGGAGCGGCCCCAAACCGGCCCCTTTAGGGTTTAGGATTTAGGGAATCAAAAGAGGCGGTTGTACAGCCGATGATTACCATCTCTTACTCAGGAGCCTTTGTTTCCTACTCGGAAGGGTTCGAAATCGTAGTACTCCTTGCCTCCATGGCGGCCGCTCTGCGATGTCAGGGAACGATGACACTGAGCTCCGGATCTGGCAGCTTGGGCCAATAGTGAAGCAGCATGAGGGGCAGCCATCGCGCGAGCAGCCACTCCGTGATCAGCGCGGGGCCCCCGAAGAACAAATGCTCCAGGATCCAGGTTTTCATCACATCGAAGGCAGCGGCAGTGATCTTTTGGGTCCTTACCATTGCGCACTGTGCCATCTACATGCTGGGGCCCGGGATGTTCCGGCAGCTCCTCAATTTCGTGATCTGGGCCCGCTGGCTGATCTCGACACGTCTTGTTGTTTTGATCGAGGATTTGCTTCGAGAAGTTGCTTGAAAAGGTGGGACTGTAAGCTCTTGAACTGTGGGCTCAGTGTGCCAAGGTTTGGGTGACCGGCGGCCCCCTGGCGATCATGACTGTCACGGAGGTCGGCAGCTGTCAAAACATGCTTTGTGACCCCAAAACCTCCCCAAAGCTCATCCTCCTCCTCCTCCTCATCATCTTCTTGATCACCACCATCATCATCATCATCATTGTCGTCATCGTCATCATCATCGTCCTCAACATCGCCCTCCTCATGATCGTCATCACCAGCATCATCACCTTCTTCATCACCACCACCGTCACCATCACCATCATCACCATCGAATCATCCCATGATAGCCTGCGCCCTTGTAGCCCAACACTGCTGTATGCCTCATACTTAGGTGGCGGTCCGAGTCTCCGCACAGGGTGGCCCCCTGTGGAGGCGGGAGGAGCCTGTGGCAATCGAGATTGATGACCAATGAGTAAGGCTACCTGCGATAATGGCAGGTGTTTAATGCTGTAGGTTGTGATACACAGGAGGACCAACAACGCAGCATTGACAGTGCATACACCACCCCATGGAGGAGGACGGGCAGAAGTAGGAAGAGGAGGAGAGGAGGAGAGGAGACGTCGAGCATGAGTCAGAAATAGCTAACAGCTGACATTTTGCATCACCTATCTTTCATTTTTTCTCTTGGTGCTTACATTTTATCACCAGGTCCTCTGTCATGAAATGTTTTTGGTTTGTTTGTGATTGTTCACCGGGGATGCCTGGAGCCGAAATCGGGCCTTGGCGAAGGTTGGTCTTGTCTGACCTGCGCAGGTTTGGCGTCTGTGCTATCCTTTGCAGTCACGGTCTTGGGCCCATAAGAAGCTGAGAAGCTAACGAGCGCTGTTGCGCGGTAAGCTTTGATTCTATCGCCGTCTAAGAGGGTGAGTGTGCGACTTGAACGCGAACCCGTGTTGGCTAGTGTTTGAGGGAAGATATGGGTAAAGTGCAAATAGAAGTACCTGCATAGATGGCAGGAAGTTCAATGGACCCCTCATCTCGTTTTCTTGCTTGCATTGCGAGCGCCCGAGTCGAATCCGGGAGTCGATGTATGTTCTTTTGCTGTGGTGACAGCAATGCACGCCTGGACTTGACAGCAGAGTTTGCCCTTCGTGGATGAATGGTTCTAAGAAGAGTTCTGTTGGCTTCGACACGATTCGGTGGGGTTCAGAGTTGAAAACTGAGTAGTTGCGACAAGGTGGCGATCTTGGCGGAAGGTGATGATACCACTGCCTCTAACCCGCAGCAGACAGGGCTGGCATAAGAGTGGGTAACAAGGTTTAGGCCGATTTACGGCTTCAGGGCTTCGTGTTTATCCATTGGCGGTGCGGGCCTGACGATGCTGTCTCTTCATCTTCCCTTAGATCCAAGTTTGTTTTCTTTGCTTTCTGTCAGATGTCAGATGTTCCACTTGCGATGCGACAGTCTGATTGTCTCCGGCTAGACCCCAAAAACGCTCCAAGTGCTCAGCAAGACCCTGAACCCTAAAGCAAAGCCCCCTAAGCCCCAAAGCCTAAGCCTTAAGCCCCAAATGGGAGTTTCCGTAAATAGGGGGTGGTCCTCAAAATAAGGATCCTACTTTTTAGGGCACTATATTAGGGTCCCCTATTTTCGGAAAAACCCCCAAAATAGATCCACCTGACAAGGCGAGGACGAGTTTGGGAACGTCTTGCCCCGCAAGCCGAGGTATCACCAGCTGGAGGCCCTCGTGCTTGGCCTGATGGCCTACCGCGGCGGGATGAGCATCTATCTCCTTAAAGTTGCGTTCCTGGGCTCTTGGATCAGTTTCTGTTTGTTTTTCAGTGGCCCTTGTTGGGCGTGCAGCAGCGTACCAGATTTTAGGAGCCACTCAGCCTCAGCCTCAATGCTGCTGAGCCTTCTCTGTATGCCTCAGAAGGAAAGCAGCATGTCTTTGGGGAACTGAGGCTTGAGGCCCAAGGCGACCTCCCGGCCATGGTGTCGGATCAGGACAAGGCCACCGTCCTCGTGCTCTGCGCCTATCGCGCGCTGCGCACGTACGGGGACTTGCACGGCGTCTCTGTGCATCAGACGCTTCAGCAAAGGCGGCTGAGGGCGAAGCTGAATAAGCTGTGGATGGATGAGTATCAACAAAAGCTGCAAGAGCACCGAGCGCGGCTGGTAGTGAAACTCCAGCGCATGGTGGACAGGAAGGTCCCTCAGCTGCTCTTCCTGCTGGCTTCCTTACTCTACTGCGGGGCGGAGGTATTCGACTTTGTGCGCACGTCCCAAGTTCTGGGCTACGTGCTCCTGGTGGCCTTCGGTTGCGAGTTCCTCATAAGGACAAAGGCCCAGGGTGGAGAGATCTTCTTCCGGCCTCTCTTTAACAAGCTGGAGTTCTTTGTGCTTACAGCTGGCACCTGGTGCCTCTTCTACGCCTCCTGGTACACCCAATACTTGGCCTCCTCCAAAGCTGAAGCAACGGCCGTGGCCGCCGCCACGGCTGCCCTTCTGCTGCTCCACCGCTGCATTCGGCTTCTGGGAATCCAGCTCAAGGCCTCCCAAAGGGCTCCACTATCATATTCACTTGCAGTTGTAATTACTATCTGATAGGACACTGTCGTGGCCGTACATGTTTTCGTCATGTTCTGATTCTAGTTACTAGTTATTGGAGCTTCTACGGTTATCAGTACCTTCCCTTGGCTGCCCGTGACGCTTTTGCCTGTTCGGCGTTGGACCCAGCCGACAACGCTTCAAGGCCTAGATAAGGCACATGCGGCCATCCTGCAGACGAAGTAGCCGTACACCTTTGGACCCCCTCTCTGGGAAGAGCATGTGACGAAATAACGGATTCAGAACAGGTCTCTGCGAGCGAATTCGACGCGGACAGCGTGATGAGTGCCAAGGCGGTCCGACCCGAAGATTCCTGCCTACCCAACACCCGTCATCCTCATCTTCATCACTACCACCACCATCATCCTTAGCACCACCATCATCATCAACAACGGCCACTGCCGTGTTGCTGTTTTGTGATGGTGATCATCTTCTTTTTTGGGGCTCATAACCAACTGGGTGGGGAGTCAGGCGATGCAAATCTTCATGGCGAAGTTTGGCACCTTGGTGGACGTCCCGCCGACGAATGTCAAGGTAGACCTACCCGGCTCCATGCGCCTGGGCAGCTGATCTTTGGAGAGGTTTCGGTTCACCGCGATTCGGCGGGTCTTCCTAGCTTCAGGTCGAAGGTGGCGCAAACTTACATAAGCCACCCCGCGGTCCTCAAGATTCCAAGCCGTGAATCTGGCCCCGGAGGACTCTGGGACCCTTAAGCCATGAGCTGCAACACTGCGGCATCCTAAAGCTAAACCCCGAGAATGAGGATTGGGACCCTATCTTACCTGAGCTCGAAACCCACAAAGCGGGTCTATAGTAAACCCCAAACCCTAAACCCTAAACCCTAGGTGGGAGGAAAAAAAACCCTAAACCCTACTTGGGAGGAAAAAAAACCCTAAACCCTAAGTGGGAGGAAAAAAAAACCCTAAACCCTACGTGGGAGGAAAAAAAACCCTAAACCCTAAACCCTAAGCCGAGGATCCACATTCAGAAGGCGAGCCTGAAGCCGGAGGCTTTTGCGCAGCTGCATTTGCCGGTGACCGTTACCGGCGGCCTCATTGAGGATTCTCGACACCCTGAACCCGAGAACCTATATGAGGGCTTGAGGTTTTTGTATTTTTTGAGTTTTTGGGTTTATCAGGACTTGAGGTTTTTGTATTTTTTGAGTTTGGGCTTATTGGGGCTTGAAGTGATTGTATGTCTTGAGTTTTGGTTATCTAGGGCTCTACCGGGTGGGGGGGAGTGCACTACACAGCTGTGCGGGCAGATTCATTGAGTTTGGCGCTACGGCAGCTGGCCTCCTGAACAACTGAAACGAGTCGGGGTGAGTCCTGGCCTGGCCCATCTTTAGCGCCCCATTCGCCGGACCTTTGAAATGGTCCTGCGAGAGAGGGAGAGAAAGAGAGAGAGAGGGAGAGAGGGAGAGAGGGAGAGAGAGAAGGTGTAAACAGAAGAGTGTTTTTTGTGCTTTTCCACAAAAGACCCCAAGCTAATACTTTCTGGTGGTGTAGTGAGAGGGTTTGGGATACAGCAGCTAGTAGTATGGCTTCAGCCGTTCACGGGAGGGAGAGCCTGTCCAGTCAGTGATGTCGGTCATGTTGGATCCGTGCTGCCGCTGGATCTGGTGATTCATAGCTTCGGGCATGTCCCCAGAGTGGGAACACGATTCGTCACCTACTGTCTACCATGAGCTTGCCTAAACCCTCAACGACTGCAAGCTCGGCCTAGACCAGGACCTCTTCATCGACTTCTTCAGTTCCGACACGACGAAGGCCCCCGCAGCCGAACAGCCCACAATGCGCCCCCAAACTCACCCAACTTCCGAATGTTGGGGCAGACTGGGTTGGGTAGTGGCCGTCACACTTTTAATGCTATCATTATGTGCTGCACCGGCTATGGGAGCTATGGTCTGGGCCGGTGCTGCGTGTGAGCGGTTGTTTAAGTTGGCACCTCTTCCCAGTCTTGCAGGAGTGACGTGCTCTTTGGGGCACCTCCAAAAGGGACCCTGATCAAGAGAACCCGCTGGCTATGTCTGAGTTGTAGGAAAATGTTGTGTCACTAATCAGGACATGCCGTGGTCGAGGTTCGATGTGATGATGCCTCCCAAAGCCGCCAGCAGACCCTCGAACTCGGCATGACACCGGCGCCGAAACAAACCCAAGGTCCTCCGCCCGGCTAGAGTTTGTGTGATTCTTTATGCTGCAACATGCCCCACTGCTTTGCCAGCTTTAAGCCCGATCAAAAGACCCGAAATCCCTAAACCCTAAACCTGTGAGCACCAAATTTTCCTAGGACCTTGGCCGGCCTCTGACCTTCGCCCCCCGAGTCCGGGGTCGTACGAAGATCCGGATCAAGAACATGCTCCTGCCCCCCGGCCGGCCGATGGAGCACCTTCTTGGTGGGCAGTGGATAGAAGCCTCCATCTAGGCAAGGAGTACTGCAATGAGGCTTCCCTATTTGAGATTTTTTTCATGATAACATACACCAAAGCCTATTCCAATTGTGAAGGCCCCCAAACAATTAAAAAAACCCAAAACCCCCGATGGAGGCCCTTAACCAGAAACCCGGAGCTTTTGAATTTGGAAGCGCATGATCAGTCTTCAACGGCCTCCAAGTCGAGAGCCCTAAAATGGAGACCCATAAAAGAACCCCCCAAAAGGGAGTCCTTATTGCAAGGACTTCCTAGTTTCCTAAACCGTAAACCCTAAGCCCTAAACCATGAACCCTGAACCCTCAACCCTACACCCCAAACCCTCAACCCCTAAACCCTAAAACCCAAACCCTAAATGATGGCTTCCGCGGCATTTTGCTGCAATGGCGCACCACGAAATGCTTTTGAGTGAGCTCTGTGACCGTAGCCTTAGTGCGAACTGTACTTGCTTTGCTGATCCTTTCTGCCTCCAAATGGATGCCTCCAAATGTGTGCTCGAGGCCTCAGGTCGAAGTAGACTTGATGCCTCTTGGGTACTTTGTACTTCGAATTTAACGGGCATGGAGGCCACAAGTCCTTTTCGGCTGTCTGGTCAACTGTACTGCGAGCCTGCCCTAGCATGTTTTCTACACACTCAGACCCATCACCCTGCAATGCGGGCTCGTCCTTGCTAAGTGGGAGGGAAAAAACCCTAAAAGCCCTAAACCTTAAATCCTATACACCCCAAACCCTATAAGCCCTGAACCCCAAGGCACCCTTGGCTCTCTGCCCTCCTTCTGAGGCTCTTCGGACCCGGCCCTGGCCTCGCGGAGGCGGGCGAAGGGGAGCCGGGCAGCTACTGGCAGCGCCTCGGACTTCTTTTTTGGGGTTTGAGGGTTTAGGGTTTAGGTTTTATAGTGTTTAGAGGGTTTTGAGGGCGCAGAGGGTTTATAGGGTTTATTGGGTTTATAGGGTTTAGGGTTTAGAGGGGCGAAGAGCGGAGAGGGAAAAGGGGAGGTCTGGGCTCAGGCCTTTCGGGGTCTTGGGGTGGAGAGAGACAGGGGGAGGGGGGAGAGAGTCTGAGAGAGAGAGAGATTTCTTCTAGAAGAAGAGGGAGAGAGGAAAGACTGAGCGGGAAGGAGGGACAACGGGCGGAGGAGGGAGGGAGGTGTAATCAGGGCATACAGAAGTAGAAAGTGACGGTGTTGGGCTTCAGGTTTTTTGGGCAAGTTGTTGGAGCTTCGACATCTAAGTCAGCCCAGGTATGACAGCGTGCGGGCAGCGAAGATGCTTGGGCAGTGTTGATAGAACTTGTCTGTGTCGGGTGTTAGGCACTTTCGGCCTGTTGGCGGCGCCCTGCACACAAGGACCCATGATGCTAACCTGAAGCCTTGCGCGCAGACCTAGACTCTACCTAGACTCCAAAATGTACGTACTGTATCTCCTATCCCACAACCTTCGCGCCCTTTTCCGGCGCCAGGAGGCTCTTTCTGAGCAATCGTCACGTGTGCTGGCATGAACCAAGATCCATTGCTTGGCACACGAGCTCCTTCTGAACCGCGGACCAACCCCCGGAGCCGGGCCCTGGTGCCCAAAGTGAGGAGGTTGGTGATCCCGAAACTGAGCCCTGTGACGAGCTGGGTGATCCGGGGGACCCGGATCCTGAAAGCTTGCACCCGTGAGCCCTTCGAACTGTGGGGCCTTTAAGGAGCCGGTAGTGATCCCTCTTGAAGGAGCCGGCAGTGATCCCTTTAATGGCCGCTTTAAGGAGCCGGTAGTGCTCCCTTTAAGGAGCCGGTAGTGCTCCCTTTGAGGAGCCGGTAGTGATCCCTTTTAAGGAGCCGAGTGATTCCTTTAATGGTCCCTTTAAGGAGCCGGTAGTGCTCCCCTTAAGGAGCCGGGTGATCGACCTCATCTGCCAGCGGCTCACCGTTCCCTTCCCCACGGCGGCAGACCCAGCGGTGGTCTCGGCCGACTCCTTGGGCTCGAGGTGGGGGTGCCCAGAAACACCAAAAGTGTTGAGGGTTTAGAGTTTAGGGTTTTAGGGTTTAGGGTTCTAGGGTTTCAGGGTTTAGGGTTCTAGGGTTTTAGGGTTTAGGGGTTTTGTTGGTGGTTTGGATGTCATCCTGGATCCCATTGTAAGCCGTACGAAAGGCCGTGCTCTCTTGGTGCATCTAAACTCTAAACCAAAGCTATTGAAACTCTTGAGCTGCTCCCCCGAAACCCTAGTGAGGTTTCCGGTTTACAGGTTTGTGAGCTGAGCATCTGCGTGGCAGACGCCGCCCGTCCAACTGCAAAAGGAAGAGCACTACTGTAGCTTTTCGAAACCTCGCTTGATGCATAGGCCTATATGCCTAGACTTTGTTTGTGTGTGTGTGTGTGTGTGCATGTGTTCTGTAACGGATCTGCCCGAAGGGTTTTAGATGTTTGTATTGATTCGGGGTTCGGGATCTAGGAACCGAATCGAAGTCGGGGTTGAGGGCTTCGGAAGCCGACCTTGCCCGGGAAGACCTGAATCTCCCACTCATTCTGTGGATTCAAAGGAAGACCCCGAAGCTAAATGTGGAGTTCAACAACTTACTAGGATTAGAACCCCAGCAGCATTCGAACTCTTTGTTTGGAGGGAAGGAGTTACGGCAAGGAGGAGGAGGCCTGAAGGAACAGAGTTTAGCATACTTTGGGCAAGCCCTGAGCTGCAGAGCAGAGCGGGGATGTGGGGATGACCAGTGCCCCGAAGGCTTGAACACCATGTGGCGGCAAACCAGCTGAAACAAAGGGATGCATAATGGGCACCGGCATAATGCTAGTGTCAGCAACGGAGCTGCGTTGAGAGCGTCGTCGGTTCCTGCAGCCTTACTCCCGGCCCGGTAGAGACCCAAAAGCCCAATGAAGAGGCCCCGAAGCGCAGCCACTGCAACCCGAACCGTCGAGAGCATTTGGCGGAGCTTTGGACTTGCCAGGCCGCGGAAGACTTTCCGACAGATGGGCCAGAACCTCATCAAAGGCTCGCAAGGGGCAAACTTAACATGGTTTCAGGACATGCAGGCATCGAGTGTCAGCTCGATGGATGCAACCCAGGCATTTTTGCTAGAATGGTCTCAGGCCGACCGAATCCCAGCTCTGTTAAACATGTTGTTCTGTTCGGTTCTGCTCTCTTCGCGGTTGCTTCACGGCGTCATCAACTCCCCAGAGCAAGCCGTACACCCTAAACGGCCCTAAACCGTGAGCGCCGAAACCGTAGACCTGTGCCCAAACCCTCGAGCTGGAAATCCCTGAAAGCTCCGAAAAAGAGAAGGCCTGGACCCCTGGACCTTGAGAGGTCCCTCAACAGCCCTATATACAACCGATCTGCATCAGAGCCCACAAAAAAAGGTAAAAGACCCGCTAAACCCTGGAGCTGTGGATCCCGAGCACGTCACTTTAGATCGCCCAGAACAGCCCCAAAAACCTAAACCCCAAAGCTGGGGAGGTGCTCGTTACAAAGTCGGCACGGCTGTGGCGCAGGGGTTCCGTCGGCTGCGGATGGCGCTGCAAGACAGCTCTGTACGCCACGTGGACGCCTGGCTCCTAGGGCCACTTGGGGAAGCCAGGCTTGGGTGTTTAGGCCTGGGGCTCAGGGTTGTAGGCTGTAGGGTTATTTAGGACGAGGAGCTGTGGGAGCGCCTACACTTTGTGTTTGGGGAAGTGCAGGTTTAGGGTTTTCTGTAGGGTGTGGCGGGGTCTTAGCATAGAAACGTTGGGAGCATGTTGCAGAGCCGGAAAGGCGCTATAGGGTCTTAGCACGCAAGCCCCAAAAACGATGCCAGCCAGAGCCCAGGACATGAATGTGCACAATGTCATGGTGCAGTTCGAAGATCATGAGGGCCTGCTTGGCCACGGCTGCCTGACCCTCGGATTCAAGGCAAGGCCTGTACTTTCGCACTAAACCTGCGGCCTGGAACCCCCGACTTCTCAGAGTGCAGAAAAGGCTCAGGCTAAAGGAGTATAGAGGGCTGCAGCCTTAGCCGCGAGGGGTTTGGATCTGTGCTTTGGGGCTAGGATGTGAGGAGGATGTGAGAACGGCTAGTCAAGTCATCTTCAACGGTCTTGCGAATGCCACAGGTGGATTGCGTGAAGCTGCATCGGCACCAGGGTCGCCACTTCAGCGCGCAGATGACTCGCTGGTCGGTCTACGCCGAGCCCTACGCAGCCGCGGATGCGAACCCTGGCTGTCTTGCTTACTCCGCGTTCCGCAATTTCGGTTTCTATACGGAGCTGGGGAGACAACAGAGGGTTCTTAAATCGTAGTAACTTTCTGACACTCGCTTGCATGATTTGCCTCAGGATCATGGCGGGAGGCAAGTTCAGGAGTTGAATATGTTGCCCAAAGAGCGTCACTGACAATGCTCAGCCCTGAACCCTAAAACCCCTCATTAACAATTGCGCGCGTCGCTTGCATTTCCTTCGATGTTCCGACTGCAACCTTGAAGAGCCCGAGTTGTGAGAGCATCATCAAATAAAACCTCTCACCCCAGTCACCAAGGGTTTAGGAATTAGGAGACCCTAAACCCTACCTAGAAAGCCAGTTTACCATAATTTGGGGTAACTGTTGCCCCTTATTCCTTCAAAGTTATGTATATATATATATAAATAATATTTATGGGCAACTTGGCTTTCCAGGTAAACCCTAAACCGACCAAGTGGGCGCCCTAGTCCGGACCGACCGAGGAGCAGGCGATCCTCCATGTCTGGATGGAAGCCCAACCGGACTCTCGGGGTTCTTGATCAGTAGAGTCCTTTTCTTTGGCGTTAATAGGGATATTTGGTGAAGATAACTGAAGGAATTTTTGCTGCTTTTTTTTTGCTGTGGCAGATTATGCTGACATGCGATCGTCAACAAGAGCCCAAGGACTGTGAAGAAGATGGTCCGGTTGACCTGCGCCGAGCGGTTTCGCTCCTGGGCCTTTGCGAAGATGGAGGAAGCGGGGTATTTCGCTCCGGGTTTTGAGGGGCTTAGGTAGGTCCAGGGTTACGGGCTGGGGCACGTTCCAAGACAGCTGCATCAGGGTTCAGTAGTTTGGTTTCTTGCGATTTAGGCTTAAGATTGTGACGCGTAATCAAGCTGTGATGGACTTGCAGATCTGCAGATCATCCTGTTTGAAGGCTCGCAAGCCCTTAGCTAGCCCCATGGGCATTGAATGCAGATGCAACGCCGTTGGAACGAACCGAGCTGCCTCGCCCGGTGTACCAACGTGCGAGCGCTGATGCAAAGTGACTTTTTTGCGCTTGATGCCTCCCGGAGCAGCCGAAAAACCCCGAAGCTTGTACCGGCGATCGGAGGACGATCATCCACCGGATCCGCTTGCGCTGATGAAGCGCATTGAGCGCTTCCCCGAGAGGCACAACATCCTCACGGTCCTTCGCAGCAAAAGCATGCAAATCATGACGAAGGGGGAATTTAAGCAACTTCACAAGATGTACCATACCTCACAAACCCAAAAGACCTGTGCAACCATAGGCGCTGCACGCAACCCTGCCATGTGTAATTATAACTCTTCTAGAAGCACTTGTAGCGATCTTGTTGTGCCCAATAAAGCCGCTATATAGAGGCCCTTTACAAAATCCCTAAATTTTTGTGCATAAGAGCTTTTGTAACCCTTCGAGCAACTCTTAAAAGAAGCCCTTCCTTGATCTGAGGTGCAGCAGGTGGTGGTGCGTGGAAGCCCAGCAGAAACCCACCAAGCAGAGGTGTCTCGGGTTTGTCACAGTATTGTATTATACATTATATTATATATTATATATTGCATTATATGATATTATACTATATTATATATCTAGGCAAACGGGCTCCTCAGGCCTCAGGTGTTTAACTTCCCAGATCGAAAGCCAGTGGAGCTTTGTTCAGGGCTCGCGCTTTGTGTGGGTTTGTGGCGTGAGGAGCAGGAGTCTGATTCAGAAGCCCTGAACACCTGCAAGCCGTAAGCCCCAACCCTACCACGTCCTACCTGAGCCGCAATGCATACCCAAAGGCCCTAAAGCCCTAAGTTTGACCTCACCTTAAGACCTTCTATGGTCTAAGTACTCCTAAGACCATCCAAAGTTCACCCTGAGCCCATGGAGCCTTCAAACCTCGATCCCGGAAGCCCCAAAAGCGTGAACTTAAAAAAGAAATATGCCAAAATGTAGAAGCCCGAATAGCTACGTAGCTCTTCTACTCCTGAGGGGCTTAACATAATTCATTGTTCGTAGAATAACTGCTCGTCACAGACTTCTGTGCGCAAAGCCACGAAACCCTATTCAAACTATAAGGCCCCCTCATATCATCTCGTGAACCCTGAAGCCCAAACACCGGCAAACTGGTGCTAAACAACACGCCCTAATCTCCGAAACACCCCTCGGTAAAACAAACACCGAACATCTCCTGGCTGGGCGACCTCAAGCCCAAAACCCCCAAACAAAAATTGGACAAACAAAAATTGGAAACCCGAAGCTGAAACCCTCTCTGCAGAGCCCTTACAGCAGGAGCCCATCAAGAAGCCCTCCACTGAGAGCCGGCTCTTGGCACCCCTCCGGGCCGTCTTGCGCAAGGAAGCCTAGTCGGCACAGGGCTTTGGCGTTGAGGGCTTTCGGGTTTCCGAGTGTTTAAAGGGGCTTCGGGTTTAGTAAGCTTGAAACCCAAACTCCTTATAAGCCGCTATTGACCCTGTACACTGAAGCCCCGAAGTAAGCCATAGATGCCATGGGAATAGACCTGAAATCCCTACAACCGACACTGAGTAGTGCCTATTGTGCACAGCGTTAGTTGTGCGCTGAAGGCCTACACCCTAAATAAACGCTCAACGCCATGCCTGCTTTGCGAGTGTGTGCGTCGAAATAAACGCCGCAACCTCAGCCCGCAAACCGCTAACTCCCTGCTTTCGGAATGATTACCAGTACCAGCCCTTCTGGCCCCCCTTACACATGGAGTACAATCTGATATGCCCCTTAATCTTTGTTCTAAGTCCTTTAGGGTTGTATGGGCTCTTTCCCCCCCTAGAAGACCCTCAGAAAGCTCGATTCGAAGCCCTTTAAAACTCTTTGCAGAAAAACTTGCAGCCCCTCATGAAAAACCTTTGTCAACAATCTTTCAATTCAAGCCCCCGAAAAAACACACTCCAAAACCCCGTCCTAGCAGGACGATCCTTCAGCGTCGGCCTCCCGAGCGGTGGACATCGAGAGCCAACTCTTCGGCTCGGATTCCTCGCAGGCGGATGCCTGGGAGCCACTTGGACAGCCGGAGGGTGCTGGGTTCCTTTTATTTTAAGGCTTCCTTTTAGGATTCTCTAAGGGGTCAAGGTTTAGGGTTCAGGATCTGGGGTTGAGGTGTGGGGTTTATGGTTCAGGAGTTCATCGCGGTGCATACCAACTTTAAGCTCCGAACCGTGGCTGCTTAGAGTCCACGTCTGGCAGTGCCATGAGGGCATTGCTCAGCGATTGCGCAGCTCCGTTGTTGGTTCCTGCGTGTCGGCCTCCGTCAAGATGATTTGGGGTCGAGCTTGATTGAGCCCAGTGAAGAGTACAAGGGGTTTAGGTTTCCATTAATTATCGACGGTTGGCGTGGGAAGGGGCAGTGGGTTGGCTTCACGTACTTGTAGAGAGAGGGAGAGAGGCTGGCAGGTTCCCGGGATGTTCGTGATGGCAGAAGTGAACACGTGTGGGGAGTGGCAGCGCTGAGAATATGTAGCAATAAGAGCATGTGGCACCACTCGCAATGCCGAAGGCAACTTGTTCCTATTGCTTGCTGTTTGCCATGAAGACAGCAACAACAACTGCTGCAGCTGCTGCTACTACTACCACCACTACTACTGCTGCTACTACTGCTGCTACTACTGCTGCTACTACTACTACTACTACTTCTTCTAGCTACTACTAGTACTAGTACTAGAAGGCTTACCGGAGCTGTGGGAGTGTAAGCCTCAGGTGGACGATTAAAGTGCGGCCCATGCGTGTCATTGTCGACGACATGCAGTTTCGCTGCCTCAGGCCGGGAATCACATGACATACTGCCTTAGATTGTGGTGATGGTGGTGATGGCCTCGGCTAGGACTCTGCGTTTATTTGGTGCTCCTGCCGTAGGTGGGTGTGGTGTCTTTCTAGGCCTTTTTTTGCAGGGCTAGAAGGCTCCATTGCGAGAGATGGTTCAGGCGAGTCTCGAACCCCAGGGCCCTAGGGTAGAGCAGTCGGAAGGCAGGAGAGACACTGGGACCCCCCTGCATCCGAAACCCGCCCATCGTCAACATCCTTCCCCACCCCCCCTTTCGACACCCCGATACCCCATCGGCCCTAGGCCGAAAACCTTGCAGCGCCTCCAGGTATGTACGCCGCTGCGTCGCTAACTGGTGGGCATGGGATACGGCCTTCCAGTGGTATCCGGACTTGCGGCCCTGTGACCCAGAGGTGCACGAAAGTTCATCTGAGGTTTGTTTCCAAAGCCATATGTGTGTGTGTATACATATATATATATATAATATCATACACATACGTATTCAAAGGTTCGGCCAGGCTGCAGCCTTGGAGCAGCTATGGACCCCTCTGAGACACTTTCCTTCCCCTAAGTCCTGTCAAGTTTCGGATGCCCTATGCAGGACAGGCCGGAACCCTGGTCTAGGTTCAACCCTAAACCCCAACCCGAAACCCACTTAGGTTTTCCCGAACCCTGAAATCCTAAACGAAGAACACCGGAGAAGGTTCGGCGCGCCTCGCCGGCGGAGAGAAGCGTGGTTGTACGCTTTTGGCGGGGGGGCCCGGCTTAGGGGTGAGGGTTTCTAGAAGAGGAGCTGCTGGTCACAAGAGGACGTGAGGGTGATGCCAGCGGCGTCGCAAGGGCTAGGAGGAAGCGTCAGCAACTACGATCGGCTAAACTTCCTGTATCTTGACGCAACGTTCCTGCGGAACAGAATGCCATGTTATTTTGTTCCAACATAGTGGATCTGACTGTGACGGCATGGCAGCACGTGTGATGGGACAGGGAACAAGATGGACCAATAGGTGCAGCAGAACCTGCTGGCATCGCTGCGTGATCTGATGCTGCAACGGAGGGTACACCAGTAGAATGAGAATGTCAGCTTAATAATAGTACTAAGGAGACTTGAGCCAGCAAGATGTCTCTGAATCTGCAATTGACGGCCCACCTGGGCCTGCTGCGCCCAACAAAAGGTGGGTCTATGCCGCCCATCGTGCCCTCGTGTCCTTGGGCCGGCGTCCGAACTTCATCTACCTGAACCTGGTGCGTAAGGCCCAATGCGACTTAGGGTCTCAGGGTATGTGCTGCGGGATCAGTTTAGAGTAAATTGGGAGGCCGGGAGGAGTTTCAGGTCCCATAATAAGCGCGTCCAGACAAAGCCAAAGGAGCCCTGCTCCCGGATCCGGGCCCTTCGTTGCTAAAGCTCCGGCCCAGAGAAGTTCTGAACCGTCGCGTACACCTTCCAGCCAGTACGAGCAACGTCTGAGGCCAGCTACCGCCACAAGCACCGCAGCCTCATCACCGAAGTCCTTGAACGGAGCCTCGGTGAAGATTTCTCTGGAGTCAGCGCTTTAGGTTTTAGATCCTTTAGGGCTTCTGGCTTGAGCTCAAACCCTAAACCCTAAACCCTAAAGGTTTGCTCGTACCGTAGTTGAATGTCCACGAAGCAGTGTTGTCTGTGCAGAGTTTTCTGATTTCCTGATGCTGGTAAGGGTGTCAGATTTAGTGCAAGCTTCCCTGAAGCGGGCTTGGACCCCTCGTTGCTGCGGAGAAAGGCCACTGCACTTTAAAAAAAAAACCCTAAAGGACCCAAACCCCAAGGTTGGGGTGGGGCGGAGATGGGTGCTTGGCTTAGTTCCACCGGCGCGGCCTGCGTTGGCAAGGTCGAGGCCGCTGATCCCCGGGGCACGCTTAGCGCTGAAGGCCGGCGGCAAGACATGTTGGTGGGATCTCCACCTTTAGAGTTTAGGGTTTAGGGTTTAGGGTTGATTAGAGTACCCCAATTAACAGTCATCAGAATAACCCCTCGAGGTCCTTAAGCATCTTTGCCGGTTTGCGAACTTTAAAAAGCTTCCCATCATGTCATTGCGCCCGGAAACCGAAAAAGACCGAGACCTCCCGCAGTGCTGCTATGAGGCTTCGGCGCACCAGCGGCAGCAGCTGTCAGAGCTGCAGCCACATGCCCAGATAAGGTTGGGGTTCTCGGTGGTTTAGGGCCTTGGGATTTGGGATGAAGACGGGCTTCAGGGCTTTTCGGCTGCATGATGTTGCATTTCTTGCCAATTACATGATGATGGTGATGATTACTGCGGGGGCTGTCAAAGATTGATTGTTTATAACAGCCATGCCCGAATATGAATGTTTTAGGTTTCCTACTCTTGCAGGGCATTGTCATTAGCAAAACCAAGGAAGCCCGTGCCCGGACTGTACATGTAATCAATCAATCAATCAACGCTCGCTCTCTGTTTCTCTCTTTGTCTGTCTGTTTTTCTGTCTGCCTGCGTGTCTGGCTATGTCTCTCTCTGTCCGCTCTGTCTCTGTCTCTGTCGCTCTCTGTCTCTCTTTGTCTCTCTGTGTCTCTGCTCTGTCTCTGTCTCTGGCTCTGTCTCTGTCTCTGTCTCTGTCTCTCTCACCCTATCTCTCTCAGTCTCTCTCGCTCTTCTCCTCTCTGTCCCTCTCTCTTTTTCTTTGTTTCTTTCGTTCTCACTCTCTGTCCCTAGATTAGTCTGTCCTTATGGATGCACACCGCAGCTGAGAAGTATCCCAACTATTTGCTGTTATTACTTCCATAGCAACTTTTTTGCACAGAATCCTCTCTGCCGAGGATCCACCTGCCCTATCCGGACATCCTCACGTGCTTTAGGGAGGAGCTGGGGAAGTGCGCGATGCGAGGCCGGTGATCGGGTTGGGTCTTCGACAGACGTTTGGAGGTCGAGGTTGGAGGTTTGGGTGTAGGCCTCGGCTTTATGGGTTGGAGGTTTGGGGTTTTGATTGAGCGTATATGACGGCCGGATTCAGTTTTCAGTTGTCTGCTTGTCGTCTGAACTTCGCCTGGTATTCATTGTTGTGTTTCCGAGAGGGTGTGTGTTTTTGTGCGCGCGTGCGTGCGTGCGCGCGTGCACATGTGCGTGCTTGTGTGCCTGCTTGTGTGCCTGCACGTGGGTGCGTGCGCGTGCCTGTCTGCGAGTTTGAGTGGGTGAGTGAGTGAGTGAGTGAGTGAGTGAGTGTGTGTGTGTGTGCGTGTGTGTATGTGTATGTTTTTTTTGTGGGTGTGTGTGTGTGTGTGCCAGACAAGTACTAAAGCCCTGCGCTCTACCTCCCAACAAGCCCAACACATGCCCTGAGCTCAAGCTAATGACCAAAAATATATAGGTTGACTCCTGAACTCTTCTGTCTGCAGGATGGGCAGCCCGGCCAACAGCACCCGGGCTTTGGTAATTACAACAATTCTGCCACTTTCAGTTGCAATGACCAGTGAGTGATGAGTAAGACAGTAGGATCATCCCGCTGTTGTCATTCTTTCATTACCTCCTTGTGCTCTTCTCGCTGTCACTGCCGTTCATACTCCTACTACTGCTGCTGCTGTTGTTGTTGTCGTCGTCGTGGTGGTGGTGGTGGTGGTTGTTGTTGTTGGGGCCTTGAGTTCAGGGCTTAGGGCTTCGGGCTTGGGGTTTGGGTTAGGGTTTGTGCTTAGGGACCTTAGGGTTTAGGGGATTTGCGACGCAGAACGCTGGAAGCTTCCCCTAGACTCACGGGCCCTCGAACCACATGCCTCGCCCGGAGTGTCCGAGTGTGAGAGCCGAAACTCGCGGCCTGAACTTCACCCTAAACCTAAACTCAAAATCGGAAGCTTCGTTGCCATCATTAGAACAGCGGCAGCCGTGTGGAAATCATCGCCGCCAAAGGCTATGGCTACAAGGGACGGGCCCTTGCCCGAAAGGGACGAGGCAGGGTTCTGGGGTGTTGAGGGCTTTCGAAGAGTGTTGCGTTGAGGCTTCGAGACGGTTTGGTGTTTAGGCATCAAGTTGGTTGAGGGTTTAAGGGCTCAGAAAAGTTCCGGGCGAATGAAGCCTGCTGCAAAAAGGGCTCAGAAGAGTTTTGGGATTTGGGTTCAGGCATCAGGGCATTTATGATTTAAGGCTTACGGGCCGGGCTCAAGCCCTGCCAGGGTGTGGCTGTACGACTTTCGGTCTACTTACTTTCCCCTTAGCCCCACGCCTCCCCCCTCCCTCCAGGCTGAAACCATCCAAATGCTTCCGCACTAGTCCAAACACTAGTTGGTATTGGGCTGACATCGACCCCCACCCCCCGCTCCATCAAGATCAAAGCCACTTAAACAGTCGCAGGTGTGCCCCCCGTCCTTGTGAGCTGCCTTATATGCTCCTTAAACCCTGAACCCCTCCCCTCGACTAAACCTCGCAGCCCTTTCCTCTTCGAGGAGCTGGACTCCGTGGTAGAGGATTCCGACTCCGATGTCTCAGAGGGTTCTGTGCCTGGTGACCTCTCAGGCCACGTTTGTTTTTCCGGTGTCGCACGTACGTGGACTTCGGTTTGTCGTCGTCAGTAGGATTTTTGCTCTATGTACTCGCACGCAGAAGATTTGGGCCTGCAGAAGCCGGTCTGTTCCGTATAGTTCACCGTCAAAGGACAGCCACAGCACCAAATCAAGCACTTAGCCCTAGACCTCCAGCCCCAAACCCCCAGACCCTTCCGCAATAAAGTCCCTGACTAATCTTTATAGTACTTCATGGAGTCCCAGACCCCGGGCTACCCTACCGACTCAGCATCACCAGCCTCGCCTGGCCTGTTCGAGTGTGTGTGCCGAAACTCTCCCCCAAAACACAGACCCTTAGCCCTTAGCAGAAGGATTCTTTATACCCTAAGCCCTGAGCCCTACACCCTAAATTGGCCCTAAATCCTCTACCCTAAGCCCTACACCCGAACTTTTCCCGTCAATCCTTTTTCCCTAAGCCCTAAACCCTAAACCCCATGCCCTAAAGCCCCAAACAACCCTAAACCCTCAACCCTAAATCCCTAAATCCCTAAACCCTATCCCCTCGTACCTGCCATGCCTGCTCTGGGATTCTGTGAGTCGAAACCCTAAACACCCTAAAACCCTAAACCCTAAAGGCAAAAAGCACCCTAAGCCCTAAACCCTAAAGGCAAAAAGCACCCTAAACGCTAAACCCTAAAGGCAAAAAACGCCCTAAGCCCTAAACAACCCCCCTGTAGCCATCCAAAAACGACCGCAGGCGACGAGGACCAGCCGGAGGCAGAGCCGAGCCTGGGCGGCCACTGGGAGCTGCGCCCTGGCTGGGAGAGCTTTTTTTTAGAGCCATGGTTTATAGAGGGTTTAGGGTTTAGGGGTTTTTGATTTTTTTTTCGGATGTTTTTTTGCGGGTTTAGAGTTTAGGGTTGAAGGTTATACGTATACGGTTTTTATGGGGTCTCAGAGGGTGTTGTGACGATGTTGAAGGTTTTTGTTACTCCTTCAAAGGGTCTTTTTCAATGCGGGGCGGGTGGGCCTTCGTAAAGATCGCGGGAACTCTAATCTAGCCGCTAGGAGCCCATATTCGTGGCGTTTATTGGAAGTAGAGAACTGAGGCTTGAGGGGGGAGGGGTGGAGGCTTAAAGGTTTGGAGTTATCATGGGTTTGGTTTGGGTTTATGGTTAAAGTTGGGGAAAAGTTAAGCGTAAGGTTCAGGTCCGTGCAACCGAAGCGCTTAAGACCTTTGAGACATGTTCCTTGCTGTTGTTTTCGATGATCATGCTAGGTTAAGGGAACCTTTGATTTCTTTCGGAGGGTTTCCTCTGGAGAGCTGAGCTTGCAATTCAGGATGGGGAAGAGCAGGACTTTCAGCCCCGTAGTGTTTCTGGCGTGTTCCCGGGCAGTGCTGGGCAGCCAAGCGGGTGGCAAATCACCGTAACCGTAACGCCCGGCCAAGCCCCAAAACCCTGAAACCTGCACAAATCCCTCATACAACCCGGTGAGGAACAAAAGCTTGAAACCTAAAAACACTTTTTTTTGCAAAGGAGCCAACACCCTTGCACAGTCCTCATAAGGCTGTTGAAGCCCTTGTATGTTTAAATGCATATAATCCTTGTAAGGCGTCCACTCTCCTTACATATTCCAATCTTTAGCAGACTTCTACAGTCTAAAGCCCTTATGGAGACCTAAAGCCAGGAGGTGGACCGCTCTGGAAGTCTTCGTCCTGGGCTGGAGGCAATGCAATGTGGGGTTGCCTAGGCCCAAAACCCTCCATAGCCGTGCACCAAGCTCGTTCACTCTTGCCTATGAAGCGTATGTTACCGGCATTATGTATGAGTGCAGGAGAATAAAAAAAAGACAACTTAGATGAGGACCAGGCAATAACCGCATGAAGAACAAGAGTGTCAACGCAGGAGCCATTCATCGGTCCAAATGACGGCGAAACAAACACGAAGCATCGCCTATTCAATGTCACACTTCTTCACTTCCGCGTTCCGGAACAGCCCGGCTTCCAAGAGCAGTCGCACTACGAAGTTGTGTGCATGCACCATACTTACTGCATGATGCATTCGCTCGCCGCCGCACCCTGTTGCAGACTCCAAAGAAGTAACAATTTTCCCTGGCCACGAGTAATAAAAAGCAAAGGCTGCTCAGATGGCTCTAGCCCGAAATGGCCACGCCTCTGAAGTTCTTAACCCTGAGCCCTAGACCGCTCAACATCGAAACATCCGATCCCACCAGATCGAACGTGTCCCGGCCCATCCTTCTCCACAGCAAGCTGCGGGAGATCTGTCTCGAAGCGGATGTTCGCAACCAGGCGACGAAGCCGGGATGCGTCAGGTACAGTGCGGTTTCGCAGGGCACAGGCTTAAGGGCATCGTGTGCTGGGGTTGTCGAAGTGGTCACGGGAGTGACTGGGAGTACAGAGTTTAGGGGAGTTCTAAGTGAACCAGCAGCAGCAGCAGCAGTGGTAGTGGTGGTGGTGGTAGTAGTAGTTGTAGTAGCAGTAGTAGTAGCAGCAGCAGCAGCAGCAGCAGCAATAGGAGGAGCAGCGGCAGCACTAGCATCACTAGCAGCAGTACGTAGCACTAGCCAGCAAAGCATGGTAACCTCAGTGTGCGGGTCGACAAAAAAGTAAGCTGTGATAGAATACCCGTTCTGGTCGTCTATTAGTTCGACTCTATAAGCATACCCGGAAGCCCTATTCACTATTCCGATTATGAAGGCCCCTTTTTCATAGAAGCCCTGCTCTAATTATGAATCTTTGGGAGCCAAGGCAAGTTCTGTCCCACGTCCCTTTGTTGCAGGATACAATGCTATACTGGTTATACTACACTGCAGTTTATTTCCCAATGGATAGTGTGACATCATGTAATGTAATGTAAGGTAACATAGCACAATATGATAATCTATATGAGGGTTTCCGAAAGTAGGGGACCCTGATGTAGTACCTAATATAGTACCCTTTATAATAAGATCCTTATTCTAAGGACCCCCAAAATAAGGGACCCTAATTTTCGGAAAGTCCCGAAGAAGATTTGTTGCAGGAGGCCTCTGCGAGCTCAGCCAGCCCGGGCTCCTCGGCGCGGCTCACGCCTTTCGGTCTGATCTGCACGCTGCCGCTGGGCAAAATCCCTGTCTTGGGGTTTCAGGACCTGGGAGTGCAGGAGGCGTTCATGGCTTCGAGTTTAGACTTTCAGGGTCTACATACGGATTTGGGTTTTTAACTGTGGTTCTATAATAATAATAGTAATTATTTATTTATTTTTTTCTATTTATTTATT